TTTTTTTTTTTTTTTTTTTTTTTTCCAGAGCCTGCCTTGCCTGCAGCTGGGGGGCGAGCTGCGGGGAGGGGGGGGTGCAGTTCTTCCCTCTGTGTGGGCTGCTAGCAAGCAGATGCTGTCCCAGCTTGGAGGCAGCACCTAGCTTGATCCAACTCTTCCCCAAGCATAGTGGAGCTTCCAGTGCCCCGTGCACTGTCCCCACTGCCTTCCTGCCACCTGGAACCAGCTGGGAACAGGCTGGCTTGCCCCTGGGCCAGCATGGGGAGGCAGCAGGAGGCCACCTGGGTGTGCTGACAGGCAGAGAAGGTGGTGGAGAGGTGCACGGAGGCACTGGAAGCCTGCCAAGCCAGAACTTCCCTGAACCTACCTGGGTTTCTAGTGCCCCATGCACCATCCCTGCCACCTTCTTCAGCCATCAGCAGACCCAGCTGCCATCCTGCTGCCTTCCCACACTTCCCTAGGGGCAAGTCAACCCATTCCCAGGTGGCCCCAGGCATCCTGCCAGCTGCAGTACCCTGCTTCCAAGCAGAAGCAGTGAGGGGCCCAATCCTTGCTGTTGCAGAGCAATCTCACCCCACCACTCAAGGCCAGGGTGCTTCTCTCTGCAGCAGTGACACCCCCAAGGCTACTAGTGGGCTTTACAGTGGACAATAAGTTGAATATGAGTCAGTAGTGTGCTCTTGTTATGAAGAAAGCTAATGACATACTGGGCATGTCTGCACGTGTCCCTGACTACACACTTGGCACTGCACAGTCTCATGGTGCACAGTTATTTTTAGACACTGTCGTTGTAGCGACAAGCTATGGCAAAATAGCTGCTTTAGTAGGAGCATTGCCAGCAGATCTAGGGAAAATCTATCCCTCTGTTCAGCACTGGTGAGGCCACATCTAGAGTCCTGTGCCCAGTTTTGGGGCCTGTGCTATAGAAAGGATGTGGACAGATTGGAGAGAGTCCAGTGGGGGGCAATGAAAATAGTTAGGGGGCTGGGGTACATGACTTCTGGGGAGTGGCTGAGAGAACTGGGCTTATTCAGTCTGGAGAAGAGAAGTCTAAGAGGGGATTTAATAGCAGCCTTCAACTACCTGATGGGAGGTTCAAAAGAGGATGGTGCTAGACTGTTCTCAGTGGTGGCAGATGACAGAAGAAGCAGTGGTCTCCATTTGCAGCAAGGGAAGTTTAGGTTGGATATTGGGAAAAACTTTCTCACTTAAAGAGTAGTAAGGCACTGGAACAGTTTACTCAGAGAGATTGTGGAAACTCAGTCCTTGGAGGTTTTTAAGACCCAGCTAGACAAAGCTTTGTCTGGGATGATCTAGTTGGGGATGGTCCTGCTTTGAGGAGGGGGTTGAACTAGGTGACCTTGTGAGAGGTCCCTTCCAACTGTAATTTTCTATGCTTCTGTGCCTGACCTGTAGTATACCCTATAGGTATATAGGGACTAAGGAGTAATAGTGATCTCAAAAAGACTTTTGCTATTACAAGAGCAGCCCTGTGGAGCTAGGACTTACATAATAGCTATACATTACCTCCTCCTTCTCAGCTCCCAGAGTGGGAGTAGGGAAGCTGAAAGCAAGAATTGAAAAAACCATATAGTTTGCAAACTGTGATAGTCCCTGGAACAGATTCATGGGAGATTCAAAGATAGTTAAACCCATATTTCCAACCCAACTCTTCCTTTCTCCATACTGTGCCCCAGTGTTTTAACATAGCATAGCGGTAAATATAACAGTTATTGTTTGATTTTTGGTAGCCCCCTATAGATGCATTCCCTAAGAAGTATGGACTATAAAAATAATTTTAGAAAGAGTGTATATAATGTATTTGGGTTTTTCTTCTTTTGTATATGCACACACACATATATATGTATCCATGTATTTATAGTCACATCCAAGACTAAGTATTTTTCCGCATTCAACATGAGGGGGAAGGCTCCCCCACCCCCATCTTGTTTTCATGTACAAGCAGTGGATGGGATAGCCCCTGCAGCTGAGCCCTCTCCTCCCCTTCATCTGCCCTCTGCAGCCTAAACTCCCCTCTGCCTCTGCTGCCCCTCACTCCCAACCCATAGTCCTCCAGACCATGCTGGTGCCCTGTGTTCCTGACCCACAGTTCCCCACCCCCTATGGTGCCCCTCACTCCCAAACCACAGCCACCCCAGCCCTCCCAGTGTCCCTCACTCCTGACCTGCAGCCCTTTAGCCCCCCCCACCCCAACCCTGCTGGTGCCTCTCACTCTTGGCCTGCAGCCCCCTGCTATCCCTCAGCCCTCCCAGTGCCCTTCACTCCCTACCTGCAGCTCCCTGTCCCCCTCTCCAGCCCTGCTGGTGTCCCTCACTCCTGACCTGCAGCCCCCTGTCCACCCCAGCCCTGCCGGTCCCCTTATGCTCAACCCACAGCCCACAGCTTTGCTGGTGGCCCTCACTCCGGAACTGCAACCTCCTGCTCCCCCCAGCCCTGCAAGTGTCTCCTGGCTTCCCTGCCCCTGTGAGCACAAGCACTACTGTGGCCCCACCATGCAGCTTCCTTCCCCCTCCCCATTCCCCTGCCCTGCTGGAAGAGCAGGTGCCTCCCTCACCCTGTTGCAGCCTAGTGCTGGGAAAAACTTTGATGCTGAATAGAGCAAAACCCAAATCCTGAACATTTGTTGATATTTAAAAAAACTGCCTGGATGGAGATGGGAGGACCCAAAAAGACGACATGTCCAGAAAAAGCTGGACATGGTAACCCTAGGTAAACAGGATATATCACAATGGTAGCATTAGGCTGTATTAGTAATTTTCATTGTGTAACGTTGTGATACTTCATACGTGCAGTATTATTGAAAGAGCATGGTCTCATTTTTCCTCACTACCAAAATGACCACATTCAGAAACAGGGGCGGTGCATAGAGGGTACATGTGCACCCCCTGAGAGCACTGGTGCACCCCCAGGCAGCAGCATTTCCCACTTAGACAATGGGCAGGGGGGGCAGGCAAGAGCTCTGGTGCTCCCCTCAAAGCGCTGGCCAGGAAGTGGGGGGCACCAGAAAAAGTGATCCCCACAGTCCCCCCACAGCTGATCATGCCAATGAGGAGGGAGGGGTCCCCCTGAGGCCAATTGAATCGGCCCAGAAGTGCCAGCGGCACATCTGGAAGCTCCAGCTCCCCCCAACCCATCAGTGCAGTTGGCCGCAAGGGCCCACCCCTCCCCCCCTGGCTGCTGGTGGTGGGGAATGCCCCCCCTGACTCAGGAGGCACCAATCACCCATGTTCGGAAATGGACAAAATATATTTCATCATCCTAATCACTTCTGAAATTTACATCATTAGG